GCCAACAACAGCCTACTATAGGTAATGAATTTGCTTCCACTATAAAAATTATTATTTGCCATTTCTACAAAGTTCATGACATGAAGCCTATAGGATGGTAAACTAATATACACTCCCAGTGATTACTATGATTATTTACATTTTTCTGCTATGTTCCTTAGGGGGTTCCTACAGGAAGAGAGCCCAAAATACATGGCAACACTCACATGGTAAAAAGAGCACATAATATGCTGAAATTTTGTGCTAAGGTAAAAATATGCCATTTCTCGAGAGCTAGAATTTTTTAACATAAATAGGGCAGTCATAGGAAAAATGAGACAAGTATAATCAAATTCAAGATACAGAGCACTAAAGAGAATGGATGGACCATGCTCTGGATTACAACTCCAGAACCTCTCCCAAACCTACAACTAGACCAACTAGATCTGTGACTGGAACTATATAACTATGCACATCTTTGGTCCCCGCCCCAATTTTTTCACCTATTTAAATCTATACCTCATGTCTGTACCCTGCAGATGGTGGGAAGAGGCAGTGTTAAAGCTGCCTTATACCACAGCATAAGCCCCAGCTGTGAATTAATTCTCCTTTCCTGCCTTCACCATGCTTCTTTATTTGAAATTCAAGGTAATTACCTGTACCTAAAATGTGGACTCTGAGGAGCCTGGGCCCTGGGTCCAAAGTTCTATTTTCAGAATGAGAATATTGATTGCTGAAAAATCTCAGGCAGTGGAATTCATTTCTTTGGACTGTCTAAAGTAGAATCAAAGGATTGTAGGCAAGCATGTTGAACAAACACCAAAGTGGTTATAGTATGTAGAAAGAAGTTAATATCAGTACAGACTTAGAAATCATCAAAGGACTGCATACAAAGTAGGAAGATGGATACACAAGAAGTTCACTGAAACCATCCCTATAGGTGCTCAATAGAGGACAAGGACAAGAACAAAGAAATCACATTAAAGTGATGGAAAGTATGCAGCCAGAAGAGAAAGAAAGCCTTTTAAAATTCACAGAATGTGTCACCAGTATCTGAATTTTGTAAACTGTTGAAAGTTCTCTACAGAGAAACAAAATAATATAAGCAAACAACTTACATCACAAAAAGAAAAAGTGTTAAGAAATTAAGAAATAAAATTCTTTACTTTCTTCCGCACTATTGGTATTCAAGGAAAACCTTTGCTTGAAGACATCAAAAGTGAACTATGCACTAGGTGATACCTTGTAATAGGAAAAATTAGTAAGTACAGTTATATATGGATTGAATAACAATAGTGGGGAACATACCAATATGCCTGCCATATCCATGAAGCAGCATATCTTTAGATGAAATGCATGTAGCTTATTCAGAAAGGATTTCTCATATTCAGAGATTACTAACAATACATTTTACACATACATGGTACTATAAAGAGGAACAGAAAATGTAATAATATAACTAATAAAGGACCACATTTGTCAGACAGACTGAAGTGGTGTAGTGCTTGCCTTAGCAATCACAAGACCCTGAGTAAAAAAATAAGTAAATAAATAGATACATAAAGGATTACAGCAAGATTGTACTACACCACCTAAATGCACAGCACAACATATTGCTGAATTTATAATAACCATCCAAACTTCACATTAATAGAAGATCACCATTTACACAGAACAAAGGAACAGCAAAAGAAGAATAACAGGCAGAGAGGAAGGGGTGAGATGGGGGTGAGAGTAACATAAAGAAACAAGTAAGAAAAATGCTCAATACCTCAGGTCATCAGTATAGTACAAACATCAGCATATAAAAAAGCTGCTTAATGCTAAATAGACAAGTATAATTAATTAGAACATTCGACCTATTGGCAAATCACAGAATAAGAAAACTTTCATAATACTTCAGGTAAATTCATGAACTATCAAAACTCCCTAGTAAATTTAAGTCATCCATACTCTACACAGCACCAATCAAAAACTCCCACCCTAAAGGAATATTCTGCAAATAGTGTAGAACACTAGGGCAACTTTACATAATGAAAAAGAGAAAAAGTTATTGGGGCAACCTCACCACAAGGGATATGGCTTATGGTCTTGAGTCTTTGTGAAAGATCTATTGCTGCAGAAACTGTTGTCCTGCACCCATGTTAGGGTGAGGGAAATACTCAGTCATCTTCTGACATCCTATGACCTTACTGAGCTATCTTCATCTTTGTCAGCATACACTGAGTTGTATTAATTGCAATGTTTACTTTAAGAAACCTTCTGATCTCTTCCACCATTTTAGGTTTGCTTATCTACATGGTTTATGCCTAACTGCTGCCTATGAAATCTATTCACTGTGTACTTTCCTTCATGAACCATGCTTCAGTTTTGCTCAACTCCAGTGTCTTGCCTGAATTCACCTCACACAAGACATAAGTACCAAGAATGGACACTCAGGTAACATTACCAAACATTCCCCCAAAGACCTCAAATGATATTATTTGTGCTACATTTCTTTGTCATCACTTCTAATAACAAATATGTGGTGTTACCAACACCAACCAAATTACAAACACCAACTAATTGTCTTTCAATTCAAATCTGACACTGTCCAGACTTAGCACAGTCCCTCCAACTTCTGGGTAGTGTGAAACAGACACCAAGCCATAGAACATGTTTGCTATATCTGGTCACACAAGTCACCTTCCTAAAGTCATGGTACCTACCACCCTGATACAAATTACTAGAATAAATGCAAACATTGCCTCAATGGAGCTTAGGAAAACAACCAAATGCAATCCTACTGCATCAGTAATTTCAAGGATTTCAAAATCTCTTTGCTAGAAACTGACAAAAGGACTAAAATTATTAATTTATACTACACACCCACATCACCTTCCAAATGCACCAACTTTTTGCCCTGTCAGGACAAATATAAAGGTGTTTTTCTCTATTCCTGGGCCTCCCATACTTGTCTTCATAGGCGCAAATTATACTCCATCTAACCATGTACCTCAACACAAATAAAAGTGGTGGAATGACAGAGTCTGAACTTGTAACACTCATAAGCATCAGCAATTAACTCACATTTCCAACCATTTCTGCACTACAAAAGAAGCACAGAACCAACATTGTTCCCATTACCCCCTTTGCAAACTCAGACATTCCCCTGCACTCTTCCCAAATGCCTTTTTGGCATCAAAATGATTATGAAGTAATCATTGCAAATATCTACAAAATGATTTGTTAGTAGTTGTAAGGTGAATTTGAGGAATCTGAGCCTGACTCATCAAACAAATCACACACTTGTGTCACCATAAGCTCATGAAGAACCCAGGTCCCTGTGCTTCCTGCCTATAATCCTAGCTGATCAGTGGACAGAGATCAGGAGGGTTTTTCTTCAAAGCCCATGCTAGCAAAAAGTTCTTGAACCCTATCTTCAGAAAAACCCAACAGAAAAAAAGGATAGTGGAGTCACTCAAGTGGTAAAAGCACTTACCAAGCAAACATGAGGACCTGAATTCAAATTCCAGTGGAGACAAAAAAAGACTATTACATGCCAGTGTGGAAGTGCTGTGGGCCAGGGTCAAGGGTCCCTGCCTCCACAGGCCTGGGTACTGCCTCATGAGGCAGCTGATTGATAAGCCAAAGCCTGTATATAATATGGGATTTATTAGAGAAAGTAAAGGTTCCAGCTAGAGCACTACAGCAAAGCCCATGGCTCACTGCACAGGTGAAGGCTGGGGCTTTTATGGACATTCTCTCTGTTAGGTTGGTTTTTCTCATTGGCCATGGATTCCTGGCCTTTCCCAAGTGAAGTGGTTTTGGCTACACCTTTATTGGGGGAGGAGAAACAATCTTTAGAGCATTTTGCTCATCAGCCCTGTGGCAGATCTATCAGACCCTGTATCTTTCTTTAGGATGCACAAATGCAGTTTACAGCTCCCTCTCAGGATGCAGGAATGCAGGCCTCAATCTGCTCAGGATGCAGGAATGATACTGCCTTCCATGGGGGATGCGATACTCACTCACCTGTCTTAAGTCTCCAGACCCGAAAAGACCACAAAGATCCTAGCACTGATAGCTCCTTTCTGTAAACCTAGGTATTTGGCAGACTGATCAGGATGACAGTCAAAGTCAGCTAGGAAAACTACTTTAGGAGACCACCATCTCCAAAATATCCAGAGCAAAATAGACTCGAGATATGGTTCAAGCTCTTGAGTACTGCTCTGCAAATGCAAAAGTATGATTTTAAACGTAGGTCCCCCAAAACGAGAAATAAGGAAACAAGACCAAGATGATCACAGGAGAAAACTGTTCTTGCCAATCTCCACGTCTGCCCACTCCCAATTTATTTCTTCACCTTGTTTCTCCTCTCTGAGAGCAAATAGCCCGTTCTGTCTTAGATGCCTACATACCTTACTTTGGGGCTTTCCCCCTAGAGTAATTCTTTTAAAGTCATGGTCTAAATTAATTAGCATTTCATTATAAAACCATATTCAAAAAACAACTTGTGGACAATTAACACTTAAGTCAGGAAGGGCAAGGTGTCCCCTCCACTCAGAAGCCACGGGAACAGGTGGATTCGCCGAAATTTAGGGACTGATTAGCAGCACTAGGAAGCAGTGCATTGAGAGGACAGGGCATAGAGTTTAAACCAGGCTTTCCTTGAACTTGATGGGCTCAAAGGGAAGCCAGGTCCCAGTAAGGACTTATGAGGACACTGCTCTGGAGCGCCCTGTCCCGGCACAAACTCCTTAAGTATTAATGAGACGCCAAGACACCTCAGTCTGCGGGATAGGAATTTGCAGACAGTCTCCCAGCAGGGCTGTGGGCTGGCATTAAGTCACCTCGAAAGGACACAAGATGGAAACAAGGCTCCCAGTACAGCGGCGCCCTCCAGTTTCCCGCGGACCCAAAGACTCAACCACGTGACCAGGGCGCAGACACCGGAATAGACCGGGCCCAGTCACCACCACCGCTGCTTTGGATCCAACAGCCCTTCAATCCAGCACTGCAGATGCCCAGCCCCCTCTCACCATTTCCCGCTCTGACGCGTCCGCGTGACCTCACTATGGTCCTGCGGTCAGAAGATTTCACACAGCTGCTGGAGCTGCGTAGCCTGAGCAATGGCCCCCGAGCAGGCGCATGGCAAATATGGCGATGATGAGGAAGGCATCGTGAATCGCCTAACACCGTCGCTCCTCATTGGACGGGAGGTGCAGACCATTCAACACCTGCTCTGATTGGCTACTGGATGGAGGGCCCACCCCCAAACCTTTGAGTGATGGAAAGTTGGAGTGGGCGGAGGTGCTAAACTGGTGAGTTGAAAATGAAAAACTCCAGCAGCCCTTGCCAGTCAGGCTTCCTTTGTTGGAGGTATATTTTGCTTTGTCAAATAATTACATTCAGCAGAACTTGTCCTTGCCCTCTGGACCCAGCGCCTGCTTCTTGTACTCTCTGTGACCTTATTGCATACTCCTCCTGAAAATGGGACAACAGATTTACTCAGAGAATTCTAGACTCGATATGGCTTGGAGAAAATTCATTATGTCTGTTAAGGAGGGGAGACTCAGGTAGGCTAGGACACAGGTAATTGATGTTGGGCTGATGGTCAAACTCTGGAAACTGGAATGAAGCACATGGCCACGGATTTCTCATACCTCATGTTTCAATCTAATCATTTGCATCCAGAATATAAAAACACATTGCCAAAAATAGTAATTTACTTATTTCATGTATGGACCCTACCACCAAAAGAACTCTATAAAATAGACTGGAGATGTGTTTGGAGCAGTTGAGCACCTCCTCTGTGAATGCTAAGCTATGAGTTCAAACTTTCAGTCCCCAAAAATACAACAAGGAAGCAAACAAAACCAAGATGATCACAGGAGAAAACTGATTTTGCCAATCTCCATGTCTGTCTACACCCAAATCCTTTCTTCTCCTGTTTTTCCCTCTATTTGAGAGCAAATCACCTTTCTTTTGTGCCTTTCCATCTAAAGTACTACTTTTAAAATCACAGTCTAAGTTAATTACCATTTCATTACAGAAAAATATTCTAATTTCTGTGGGAAAATAACTGTTAAGTCAGGAAGGGCAAAAAGTGTCCTGGCCACTCAAAGCCAAACCAGGCACATGTAGATCTGCATTTACTAGAATCTAACAATGTGCAGAATTTGTGGAAATTCAGGTACTTATTGGCAGCACTAAGGAGTACTGGATTTACGACTGTGGAGAGCAGGCGACTGTGCACAGTTGACCTCAGGCAGGAGGTAAGTTGCTCATTCACACACTTTATTGCAGGGGGTTACAACCTGTGCCTCATACCCCCTCAGCCTTCCTCAAGCTGTGCTCACCTTGCCATGTGTATCTTACACCTCTGGCAGCTGGCTCCTAACTGGTCCTGGGTAGTTCTGTCTCAACATGACTCTAGAATGCCCAGGGAATCCAACAGGCCATTTGGGTATTTGGTCCACTTTGTCTGGGTCTGCTCTTGACCTGTGATGTGTGTTGCTGGTCAGGAGGAAGTGGCATTGGTCTCCTGGTGAATGGGGTTTAAATATTTGTAGCAGACTGGTTTATGGGCACCACTTTAAGGTTACCTGATTTGCAAATCAGCCCCAACTTAGGGTTAGATGATTTGCATATCAGCACCAGCTTAGGGTTGGCTGATTTGCTAATGGGGCACCACATGATATTTGTTTATATCCTAGGGCATACAAGTGCACATACATCATTTTCCTGTGGGTTTTACAATGTTATATATTTTTATATAATTTTTCAATGTTTAATGCACAGCAAACATAATACTCATAACAAGGACACAGAGCAGAGTTTACCCCATGCTTCCCTTTAACCTGAAGGAATCAAAGGGAATCCCGGTCACAGTAAGGAGTTAGGAGGACACTGCAAATGAGGGCCTTGGCCCAGCACAAACTGCATTAAGTACACAGTGGTATCCCCAGCCACCTGATAGCCATATAGGGATTTGCAGGCAGAAACTCCCAGCAGGTCTGTGAGCTGGGATGAAGTCACCTCACACAGACACAGGATTGGTTAAAGACCCTCAGTCCACCACCATGCTAAGTTGGCAGAGGATCTAAGGCCCCAACAGTGTGATTAGGGCACAGTTTGTGGAACCCACAAGACAGGGCCCAGTCAAAAACACTACTTCTCCTTGCTCAAACAGTCCCTCCACACAGCACAGCATATGCCAATCCATCACTCACCATTTCCCTATTCTGATGCTTCCAGATGACCTCCCTATGGTCCTGAAGTCAGAAGATTTCACACAGCACCTGAAGCTGGGTAACCTGGCAACTCTCCAGCAGACACATGGCAAATATGGTGATAATGTGCTCTGTAACATAGACCTCCTAACACTGTCTCCAAAATACTTAAGATTACAAGTGGGTGTCTCCAATCCCTGGCTTTAATTCCCATTTCATTGTGCTTATACCCTGTCTGCCATTTTGTTTTTACTATTAGAATATCAAATAAATTTATTTACATTTTTATTAGTTCTTTCACTTTGTACTGTATATTTGCACTTTATGTTAATTCAGTTTGTTTCTTCTGTGTGTGTGTTACTATGAGTTTAGACAAAGACCTTGTAATTGCTAGGAAAGCTGTCCAGTAGTGAGCTACATCCCAAACATACTTTTATTTTGAGAAAGAATCTCACTAAATAACCATGACTGGCATCCAACTGAAAATCTTTGTGCAACATCTCCCCACCCCCGCCCAGTGGCTGGTATTTTAACTGTGTACCAACACAACTGAATCTTTCATCCACATTTTTGTGATTCTGGTATTTGAACTTTGGCATAGCACTCCCTCAGCAGGCATATCAATGGCCTGCACTACACTGTCCAATAACAAGGCAGGTATCATGGAATGCTCCAGGGTCTTCCCTCCCATACCATACTTAGTGTCTCTCATTCATCATTTCTTCTCAGCAACCATAAGCACCCAGTTCTTACATTTATATATGATAACAAATGTGAATAAATGATTTTGCACTCTGGAGGCATGTCTCAAGTGTTAGATCATGTGCTTAGCAAAATTCACTCCCTAACTTTAATCCCCAGTATACCAAATGGAGAGAAAGGATTTACTGTATTAATTCTATTCAGTACTATTTCTTCTAGGATCTTTATTTCTGACCACCTTTTCCTTCTCTCCAAAAATTCATTTCAAGTTTTGCAATACTAGTGCATATGTGACATATTCTATAAATAATATTCAATTTTCATTCTCTCATTCAAAATGAATAATTTCAATTGCTTTAGGAAGAGGTGTACAACCAGAGAGCTCCCACAAGAGAAGATTCTCAAAATCCAAGTTATCTCTTAAATATGTGGAGGAGGTGTGGCTTAAGAAGTAGAGCACCTGCTTTACAAGTGCAAAGCCTTGAGTTCAAAATCCAATTCTACCCAAAAATGTGTAATACATTTTTGTGGTAGCACTAAAGAGATTCTGAAAATTGTCAATTATAATATGATTTTGTAAAGTTTTCAAAAATGAAGTGCCTGAAATCACAATTTCAGACACAACGCAAAAAAATGGAGTTTTTTTATAAACTGATAATCGTGACACTGAGAATAAAATTATAATTCAGAAATATCATAGTGTGTGCTGGTTTGTGGTGGCTCATGCCTGTCAACTCATCTACTCAGGAGACAAAGATTGGTAGGATACTGGTTTGACACCAATCTGGGCAAAAAGTTAATGTAACATCATCTCAGACAATAACTCTGTATGGTGGTATATGCAAATAATTCCACCTACATGGGAGATTATAGTATGAGGAAGCCATAGACAAAATGGGAGACCCTAATTGAAAAATAACTAAAATAGCACTAAATAACATGGGAGCCTGGCCTTTACAATTTCTGACATGCTCCCACACTTCCCCAAAGGCTCATGATTTGCCTCAACAATGATTAACAGAATTAATCAGTGCAAACAATGCAACTCTACAACAAGTGAATTTTTTTGGAGGGGGTGGTACTGGGGTTGAACTCAAGGCCTCACACCTGCTAGACTGGCACTCTACCACTTAAGTCACTCCACAAGCACTCCAAATTTTTTTGAGCTCTTGTTTTCTCCTTAACAGCAAAGCTCTTCTGTGTAACAATTGCGGTGCCTGCATACCTTACTTTTGGGGAAATCATGTCCTTCATTAACCATGTCATTATAAAATGAGAAACAGTCTGAGAACAGTAACAGGTATGTGAGAGGAGGGACCAAGTCCCCTCTCCCCTGCAAGAACAACCATGTATGCATGTGCTCACTCATTTCCAATCTTTCTGGTAATATGGGGGATATGTAGACAATCAGGGATTAGTGGTGTCACTAAGAATCCTGGGCCTCAGATGACAGTCTCTGGATTTAAGTACTGTTTACTCTGAACCTGGAAGCCTCATGGGAAATGCAGAAACTCACCTTAGAGAAAGAGCAGAGAGTATTCACTGCATTGCAATGCTCCTTCCCCACAAAAACTAAATAAACAAGCCCAGAGTGTCAAATGAATACCCTGAAACACCATACTGGTAGCCTCATGTTTCCTGTGGAGGTGTCCAGCAAGGACAGTAGAGTAGGATGAATCACTTCACATGGACAGTACAGAGAGTTCAGAGAGTCCAATGCCTTGCAGCTATTACCTGGACAGTATCTGCATTTCCATGCATAGTGCTGGTTGAATCACACGGCAAGATTTCTATGATTAAATTCTCTGAAGAACAGGCTTAAGACTAAAACAGAGTTAGGCAGCTTCAGGAAAAAGGTCTTATGTTTTTGGCAGTTTGTTCAGGTCATAACCTTAAACTGACTTCATGTGACATCTCCCTTCTGGCAAATAGTAAGGTGCTGAAGGAGAGATCATTTCAGTGTTGAAGGAGGGGCACCAGGCTATGGCAAACGCCCAGGCTAAATCCTTACCTGCTACTAAAACAACCGAGAGACTTCTCTATGGGGTGCTTCCAAGCAATGTGCAATGCTATGGATTATGCCTAACCTTAGAATAGGCATTTTCTTGTGGACTTGGATAAAGCAGTCACTTTTTCTGAGCTACAAAAAGAATTAGATTTAGTCC